ATCAATTAATGTGCCTCCAATCAAACTGAGTTAATTTAGTATATAGTTCTTTGGTTGCATGACAAGCATGTTTCTGCAAAAGTCAAAAGCTGGAAAATCAATTTCACTGCGAATCAATTGCCGTTTTTTTGATAAGAATTATCGTTTCTAATTTTGATTTTTGTTTTTCGCTCACGCAATTCTCAAAGAGCCGACAGGCCCTTGCCCCCATTCTAGCGTCCCATAAACAAGGGCAATTCCCCTGGGAATACGAGTCGTAGTAAGGCGATTCGGCGTTCTCTCTGAGGTTGCAAGAAGACTACTATAAAAAAAAGTGATCAAATAAACTCAAATTAAAAACAAAGTTTGATAAATTAATTGACCAAGTGGACTGATATAAGATAAAATGTTAGAGTTTTTATATGAACTGCTTATATGTTAAATTTTTTCATTCAGACCGCGGTGTTTTCACGGGATAGGGCAATGCCTTCAAGGTACTGAATTTTTCGGAACCCAGTGCAGTTCTCTCAAGAAACATACAGATTGAAAGATGGCTGCCTTGAAAGAAAGCTCTTACACCTAGATGCCACCCTTCAACTGCATATGTGATTCGAGCTAGAAACTACATGTTTTCTCACTAGGAAGTCAAGTGAGATATCCACTTTTGCCTCCGTGGATTACCATTTTTTTTAACTCAAGTTCGATTTCAACTTTTGCATATAGCTCTGACAGAGGTAAAATTAAAAACGGTTTTGAGTGCGGCTGGGAATCTGTTATATATTGATAAGCCTACATTGCTGAGCAGGGGTAGACACAAGGTTGATCAAACGCGCCAATCTTTTATAGTGTCGAGCTAGTAAAACTGACTAGGACAAATTTTGAAGGTACAGCCTACAAGCCAGGTTTTTTGTACAAGTTGAGTGCTTTGAAGTCCCATTATCCCTAAAAACCAACAACCATACCGAATCTTTTTTTCCGCTATCGGAAATACAAAGTTGCAGAATTTGATCCGGCATTTGGAAATTACTCTCCCCTATGGCAATGTTGGGCAGCGTTGTTGTTCATTTCTTTTTACAGTTCGCGTTATCGCCAAGCGGGATGGCAGGGACAGTTAGTTGACTTTTGGACCTGCACTAATTGTTCTGTAGCTGCAATGATCTGGCTGTTTACCAAATTTAATTGACTCTTACTGACTGTCTCCATCATTTAAAGAACTAATTGTCAAGCTTCTGAGCAACCTGCGATGAGGAGCTCGTTACTACGCTCGTTGCTGTTTGAATTAATTTCGCTCCAATGTTTGATAAAAAGTTTTGGGCACTCATATGATATCTTTTCACTGCAGCTCCAGTGTGTTGTTGTTTTTGTATCGCGCATCTTTTGAAAATCATGGCTGTCTACTGTTATGAGTATTTGGCCTTTTTACGAGGTTCCCCATGCAAATAAACTCAGTTTTGACTATTCAAGGAGATAAAAATTGAGATAAAACATGCTAAACTTATGCAGTTTTTTTGAGTTGTTTCAATTCAATATCATATTAACAGTAAATTATTTGGCAGTAAGATAATCCCGAAAATCAGTCCAATTTTAGTTTGGTTATCTTACATTTGCGTTGTTCTTTAGTAGCGTGAACCTCATTTTACTTCTAATTACACTTTGATCATGTCAATAATTTATATGTTACGGGATCTTTTTAATTGTCAAGGGATCTTATGGTGTGGGCGATTTTGATACCAGCTATCTTTTGGTATGGTATCTATTGTCTTGGGAACTTTTAGTCTGGTATCTAAAACCCAATTTCCTGTAACCCAATTTTTATGACCCTTCACTTAATCAAATCTGCTGGTATCAGTTTTTTTCGAAATTTTGCCTTTTTACGCTTGAAATTTATAAAACTGTTTTTTGTAATGAAACAAATAAAAATTTTCAAAAAACGCAAAAAAAGCAAAAAAAAATTTAAAAAAAACAAACAATTTTTGAAAATATTGTCGTTGCCCTCTATGTTATTTACAAGGGAATTTTTGAAAATTATATGAAGTTTAAAAAATTTTCATCCTATTTTGAATCGGAAAAAAGCGAGCCTTGATCTGAGATGAGCAGACTTGATTGATTGGTTCTCTATAAAAATCTATTTTTTTGCATCTATAGAATGTTTGCCATAACATGATTGCACCTGCACAAAGCTCAGAAGTTTCACTCTTAGACAATTCAGCCAAAACTGAACTTTGTGACAATTAGGTCAAAATTCAAATGAAAACAACTCAAGTCATTGCCGCATATTAGTTTGAACGAAAGACACTATACAGTGCTGTATCCGGACGAAACGAACAAAACTTGAATTTTCAAACTCGTTTTTCTCAAATTGGGTCAAGATTAGACAAAAATAGAACAGGACAAAAGTTGCTTAGAATTTCACCAGAATTAATATGGTGCTATTTTTTCTTCGAAATTCTCAACAAAAATTTTACCCCAAAAATTGGTAATTTTGGCTTTTTTTCAATTAATCAAGAATTACGCTGTAACTTTTTTGATAATTGAAAAATACTTCACAAGAAGCCTCTTACAAAACAAAGGTTAAGCAGGGTTAAATCTCCATAAACCTGTATAAGAGAAAAAAAAATTACTTGATTGTCAATAATTGTGATTTTTACTATATAAAACCCAGAATCTTTGCACAATTTTTTGGAGATTTAACCCTTCTCAAACTTTGTTGAACTGCGTAAGAGGCGTCCTGTGATATAATTTTCTTATCGATTTACAAAATAGTTTCAGCGTAATTCTTGATTAATTGAAAAAAGCCAAAATGACCCATTTTTGGGGTAAAATGTTTGTTGAGAATTTCGGAGAAAAAATGGCACCATATTAATTCTGGTGAAATTTTAAGCAACTTTTGTCCTCCTCACTTTTTGTCTAATCTTAACCCAATTTGAGAAAAATGCTTTTGAAAATTCAAGTTTTGTTCGTTTTGTCCGGATAATTTAAATCAGCACTGTATCACGCGCGTTTCAGAATTCGTGCCAAATCTAAGCGCAGCAGAACCAAAGACGTTTTGGAAACAAGCTTCATTTGCAATTTTAGACTGAATCTACTACCAAATGAAAAACTGGCTGAATGGCTGAATATTCTGTGTGAATATTCTTTGAATGGCTGGACTTTCTGAGAATTAAACTGGTTGATTTTTCTGCCATTTTTTGCAGGTATTAACAGATCAGTAAAAAGAAATTGTTTGATTCGATTCAAGTAAAAGGGATTTTCGAAGCGAATTAATTCGCCTACGCTGAAGCAATAGAGAATGAATTATATTGCTCGTTAATATCACGAAAAAAGTTTCCGAAATAAAAATTTTGTTGTTTTTGATTGCTTTTTCTATGAAGGTTGTGAAAGGCGAGCCAATGAATTTAGTTGTCAATAAATTTTTGTTCCGACTTTCGATACGAAAGTAACGGAATATTTGTGCTCGGGGTGGTTTTTTTTTCTTCAGACAAATTTCGACTTTTTAACTAGTCTTTTTTGACAAATTTTTTAAAAATCATTCAAAAGCTAATGTTGTCCTGAGCTCAAATTTGAAAATTTTTTTTACCTGTGATGATTTTTTGTAAAGTTATGGGGGTTTAAAGATTGCCATTATGGCCAATTTGTGACAATTAACGCTCGATATATTTCGCGCTCTTAACGCGTAAGCGGAGAGTTAATCCGTTTTAGAAATCGTTCCAAATTGGTTGAAAGAAGCTCATTAGCCAAAATTGACTTGTTACATTTGTTAAAAGGCAGTCGGAACATTCAGGGCTTCGCCCTGATACGAGCAGTTTTGTTTTGTATTTACATTTGAGTAACCAAGGTTTTTATCACTTGAGTTCGGTTATGAACACAATCAAATTATTTTGAGAATTTAAAATGTAAAAAATCAATATTTTTGGTTTATGGAAAAATGCTAGTCATACATTTTCCATATATGAAAAATCACTAATCATAGACCTTTCATGCAATTTTCCGTACTTATGGAATTGCATGAAAAGTGAATGATTAGCATTTTTCTATATATGAAAATTGTATGTTAGTATTTTTGGTCAACCCGGGAATACAAGTTGTTGCATAAAGTATATGTATGGTTAAAACGCTTGCCTAGATTTTCTCCTCCTGACCGGATAGAAAACAGATCTGTGTTCGTTGACTTCTCGCTGGCTCAGATACATGATGTGGACGAGCGTACTGGGCTGTGGACTCTGAAGATGGTGATTTCTGTTTATTACTACACAGAGGTTAGAGCTTTATAGACCCCTGGATCAATTGCATATTCTATCCACAAAATTTCTCACAGAAGACCAAGACAGTTTATCATTCAGGTTACTCAAATATTCTAGTAAAGGTTTGAGTAAAATTTGAATTGGCAGAACTGGGTTATCAAAAATAGTTCGCCAACTTCAAGCGCAGAATGTGTCCTTGAACTAGAAAATAAATGAATCTCATGAATAAACTTTTTCACTGTTTGCCTCACGAAGAAAAATTTCTCATCCTAGGAACTTTTTTTTTTAAATATCTTATGATTAAACTCAAATTCAATTTCACGGCGTCCTTATCATCTATTGATGTGCCAAACTTTTCA